TTCCGTTCTGCATTTCCCATCTAATTTCCCATTTCATTTCGACGTAAGTTAATAAATCATATTCTTATCTCATTTATTTCCGCCACTGTGGAACATTATGCTCTGTATTTCCTTGTTGTTTTACGCCGCACTCAGCAATATTCCAGCTATATGGCGGCGGTCTGTCAATACTAGAGTCTGGATCAGACAATCCAGTGGCCAACATCATGAACATGGATCTGCGCATTCGGGATACCATGACATGTGTCAACCAGGTCAGCGAGCCTGGGGCAGTCTTATAAAATATGATCTTATTCCTGTAAGATACTACTATGCTCCTGACTTTCAGCGACATCTCCATTGGTCTCCATTGGTCTCCATCCATACATTCGGATTAGTTCCTCAGATCTTCCTACAAATGAAATCGTGTTCAGGATCTGATTTTATGGAGATTCTGCTAGAGGTACTCTGTAGCTGTGTAAAGTGTCATAGATTTGATATTCATTTTAAGGATATTGAAGGATCTCCACTTAATGTGTTAATTACTAAGGACGTATTACTTGATAAAGTGTCTTGTATTGCAGATATGGATTTATCTCTGTGCGGAGTTAGCCCGATCTCCTTAGCCCGATCACGATCCACCTTTTTGGGGTTCGAATTCTAAAAATTCTCCGTCTTGATTATGACCCTTGATTTATCAGCACCTTATTCGGACACAGGCCATGAGGATACCTTGTGTATCCAAATATTCGACTTATTATAAAATTAAATCCAAAAACGAAACACAATATAAACTTATAGACCAGGATGGCCGATCGTCCCAGGCGCATCGGGACACTGTGCAGTGTTGCCTACCTAGGCGCGCCAGTAGGAGGTCGTGGGTCGAATCCAACGTTCTCCCTGATGACGATTCTTGGTTTCTCAGGGCCATACCCTTGTTCATTGGGTTTCACCTAAGCAGTAATCCTCCAGGTCCTTCCTTACTTAGCGGTAGGCTGTTGGTTAAAGTGTTCGCTCGTCCCGCCGAAGACCCGGGTTCCAGTCTATCATGAGGTCAATATGTGGAGCCTATTTCTCGTGTCCATCACCCCACCCTCCCCCACCATCCTCGAAATCGATGGAATGACACTTCACAACTTTGGTTTTATTCCTACGTACGGTGACTTGACGTATTACTGCAATACTGTACAAAGCAGCGTAAAACCATATCCAATCACTTCACAACTTTGGTTTTACTCGCACATACGGTGCATGGCATGACGTATCAATGGGATACTGTACAAAGCGGTGGACCCAAAGGACTTGCTAAATGTAATCCTCGCTCCCATTAGCGAGCCACACCGTCAAGATCTGTATCATGTCCAACAGATGGGAACAGTATGGACGATAATAATGAACGATCTTGAATTATTCATTTACTGTTTAGGTATCAACATGAATGGCTATACAGGCACAACAATGAGTCCCCAGGCCGAGAACTAAACGCCTTATCGTCTAGATGATGTTTACCGTTAACAGTCGACGTATACATTCGGGAGCTGTTATGCTCAAAATGGTTTTACTCAATTGATATAGCAGACTGTGCAGAAATTCTGAACCGTTATCCTAAATCGATTTTTTTATTCAGATCAGATACGTCAGAAATGGTTGCCTATTTCCTATATGATTTATTATTCATTGTCTTCTTTTAACATACTCGATCGATATAAACTCTGTCAAAAAAGAAACGCAACCCCTGTCCTCAGATATGAAAAATTCGTTTGAATGAAGTTATTGCTTCCAAACTAAATGTTATTCGAATGTATTGAAATGATACACGTAATTAATGAAGATTACCATCCAAACAACTGCATTTGTACGCATAAGTGTATTTTATTGCTTATTCCGTCACAACGCATGAAATGACCCTCATGGTGACTTCGCACAAAAAAAAACCACATGCAAATCATGAAAATGGCAGTTAATGTAGGGGTGTATAAAAGCCCATGTGCTTTCGTATTATATTCATTCATTTGT